ACAATAGGCCAATTATCCTTTTCGTTTGCTTCTCTCCCTCTAATGGGCTGCGTTGAGTCAGCATGTCGTCGTATCTGTTTGTCACGCGCTTGATTTCGTCGCCACGTCACACTAGACGCTGCGCTCAACCACCTTCCCAACCAACTTTGCCTCGAACGGGCTACCGGGGCTTAGTAGAGGATGAGAGAGAGAGAGAGAGAGTGTGTGTGGTCAGCGTGTGGTCATGGTCGTGGCTTTGGGGGATGCCAACAAACCGGAATAGGTAGTCTTTCCTCAAAACTGGCTGTCAGTCTTCTCTGTATTGTCTCTGTGGCGACTTCCCTCTATGGACAGTACGAAGCACCCTCGCTGAATCCTGGTGCATGTGTAGCTAGGGGCCACGTCGCGTGTGGGCAGTGACATGCAGCGGCAGAATATCTGCGAAACACGCGTCTCTGCGCCTCTGGCCAGTACCTGTGCTGTCAAGCATAGTATATCATGCTACCTATGCTTATACTACTGACTGCCTGTTGGCAGTTTATAAATAGTATGCGGTTATTCTGCTGTGACTGACGGACTTCTACCCAAAAATTCATATCATTCCAAGCCCATTAATCCCAAATAGACTGGTCTTCTCTTAGTTAACGATTAACTACAGAGGTAATTAAAAGCCGCAATTTTCAAACTGGAGTACCTACCAAAAAAACGCACGAAGCACGCTGGGGGACCCACTGATGAGCAGCGGCAGAATGTCAGCGAAACACATGTCTGGGCTTTTAGATAGCATCTGTGCTGTCAAGCCTGGTGTATCATGCTACCTCTGCGTGGGCCGGGTCTTTGGTTTAGATTAGATGCGGTATATACGCCCACCTCGGGTCGTCTTGACCTTGGCTTCACACCACGATGTGGGAAGAGTGAAGCGATGTGGACACAGCGCAAGTACGCTTCAGTGTAAACAAAGCTATATGCGCAGGTCATCACTGCACATGCTTCGGAGGCAACTCGTGAATGCTGCGCGATTCATCATACTGAGAGCTCTGTATGGTGGATCATGTAACATTTGTATACTGCTGGCCGCCTGTTGGCAGTTCATGAATACTACGCCGTTATCCCACTGAGACTGGTGGATTTCAACTCAAATATTCATATTGGCTTTCGGTCTAGGCCTGAAAGGGTTTCTTCCAGGCTTTATTTGATAATTTTATCCAGATGATCGTTTATATGCAAGAAATGTGAGCTCGCGTTTCCTGAGCAGCTGTAGGACGTCAGTTATGAGATTACCGCAGGCATTTCAAGATCCAGGTGTTACTTTCTCGTAATATAGACCGCGAGGCGGGCAGTTTAACCTGACTGATGTCATTAAAGCTCTTGTCCCGGCGATCGTGTCTTCTTCTTCAAGACTGCTTCCTGGGACTCCTCTTTTCGCTTCTATTGGTGATGTCATTTACATTGTTAGCTTGAGAAAATCACTGGTGTTTTAGTATTGGCACGCGTTTCCTGTGCAGGTTTTTTATAAACTGACGCCTTTGTAGTAGTAAAAAGCCACAACCTTCCGTCGCTCATTAGCAAAACGCCAGGGTTGTGCGCCTGAGGGGGAGGGAGGTACAAAGCACAACACATTCTCACAAGTTCGAGCAGGTTACACCGACTGGCTTCGGCATTCCGAATCGGGGCAGCTGACGTTCATCAAATCCTGCTTTCCTTTCAGGAAAGTTTCAGCAATTGAATTCGACTCTACCCTTTAGAACTATCTTCCCTCTCGTATCTGTTTCTGTGGGACACAAGAATATGCCTCCTCCACGCATTGCTCTAAGCTCTAAGGGGATTAGGGTTCGAGTCAGTAGGGTTAGAGTTTGGGTTGGGTCTATGAGGGTAAATGTTAGGGTCAGGGTTAAATTAAGCACACTGGAATAGGAAGCCCTCTCCCCCCCCCCCCCTGTAATTTGTTGCAAGGCCGCTTGTACTACGGGGGGAGGTTGATATTCCCACGTCTGGCTTGCCTATATAACAGACCCGGTCTTATTTGCAGCCCCGCCTTCGGCTGATCGGTCTCTATACCTTTCCTCGCCTTCATAACACACCATCACGTGGACAGCCGTACAAACATTGAGTTTCCACCTGCTAGTTTCTTCTGCATCGAACTGTCGTAGTTCTTGAAAACGGTTAAACATACTCGGGAGGGAGTTGAACTGACAGATTTTTAGCTGTAGAAAAGTTCAAAATTCGTGAGCGATCAAGTACGTATTCACAGAGAACGGTTACATGGAAGACTCAATGTAGTTGCTCTTGTTCCCCGGACGCATCAGTTGTTGAATCACGCAAGATAATTTGATTTGAATGGAGGCAATTCTGCGCCTGTTTCTATTTACAACTTTTTTATTTGCGGATTGGACAGACCACTACTCTACTCAGAGCTGGGGTTTTAAAAATCCTCAAACTCCTCTCTGGCATGCTGGTATTTTACATTCACATCAGTGATCACCTCCATTCGGAGAGCTAGGAGGCAAGAGTTCTTACTGTTATGCGACTGTCGATAAAGGCCCTGGCCTGTTCCTGAGAACAGGAGGGACTGAACGTCATTCTTCCTGATATCGGAACAGATTCGCTAGATGTCAAGGCCTCCGCCTCTTTCATGACGTAATCAGCGTCTTTCCGAATTTTCGCTTGTGTAGGTCTCCCGTGACGAAGCCGCACTGGGCTATGGACGTTGCATGGGTCTTTTCAATTAATGCGGGCTCTACTCCTCCTCTCTTCCCTCTGAGCGTTGTCCAATGTTTCCTCTCATTTCCGCCTCCTCCCTTCTAGGTGCCCGCGTTCTGCGTCGCCTGCACCGGTCGGGCGCCTTCTCCCTCAACCATTGGAATACCACAGTTCCGGTGCAGTACCACCCCGCCATGTGGCTCTCCGGCTGCTTCGCACCTGCCAGTCCTCGCTGTGCTATCTCTCTTCTCCAGCGTTCCACTTTGTAAGTCACTTGATCGTTCTTCCAGCCCCTGTCCCCCATCGACTTCCTTATTTTGGGCTTTCTTCTATGCGTTTCTGTGGACCTTCTACTGTTCTCGCTCCCAGCTCCTGTTGACGATATCACTCGCTGCCCAGATCTATCCTCCGCACGTTTGAGTTCTTTAGCATAGATAAACTGCACAGAAGGCCTGGTTACTGGCATTAAGTGTGCTTTTACTCCTGCGCACTCTAGCCGATCTCAGCGTTCGCCATGTGTCTTGGGGTCTTTCGATGAAACCGGTGTAGCGGCCGAGGACGTCAAGGGTAGCACACACCAGAGAAAGGAAACGCAGATGAGAGATCCTGGCCGGGTTAGATACTGAACGGAACTGTTAACACTTCTTGATACTCATCCATACACCGGGGAAGAAGGCAGATCGAGTAATGGAAATAGTGTAATGCATAACGAGATAAGCAAGGAAAATGTGTATAATAACTATTAACAATACAGGGGGATGAGTTACAGCTGAAGAATAACCTGTCTGGGTGAAGAGGCGATACCAACATGCCAGCTAGTAAACCGGTGGGGAGTGCAGCGCTGGGGGCAACTGCAGGGAAGGGCCGAGGAGGTGCCGACGTAGAGTGAGACGGAGGACGGTACGAACGTTGCGATACGATGCGGGAAGAGGGGTCGGCGGAAATGAGAGGGAAGGGCACCGGTCATCTTCACCAACATGCGGTTACGCCATCTTCACCCCAGGTCCACGCGCCAAAAAGTGTTCCACACATTCAAACAACTCTGTTCAAGTCCAGGGGCGTTACACCGGCTCCCCTACAGCCTCGTAGTTTGTTTATTCGAAGTTGCCTCCTCTACCGGCTTCGCTAGACGGATTCTCAATGCAGTCAGCGTTGGCAGGAGAGCTCGTTCAGTGGCAGTTTACGGTGGCCATGTCCCAGTGCCGTTATGAGGGTGCGTAGTATTTTATGAGATAGGCGATCTGCCTGACCTCAGCCCCCCCCCCTCTGCGGGCTGTTAGCATCGCAACTCTCGGCTCTTGACTGCGTATTCACTAAACGTGGGTCTGCTTGCTGCGCAACCAGCCTTCTTTGAAGGCCCTCTGCCACAAATGAACATGCAGACAGACAGGAACTAGCATGGCCAAAGTAAAAGGGACATGCAATCAGGCTGAGCCGCATCATCCAACACCGTTTTTCTGCCAGCATCGTGTTTAGAAGTCTCCCCGCCCCCCCCCCTCCCTGTGGGAGGGTTTTGCAATTCCTCAATCTCTTTCCCGTATTTCTTCAACTTCAGTGTGAAGCTTTTTGGTGCCTTGTTGTGGCACCTACTCTGAAATGCCACCTACTGGCTCACACATTCTTGTTTATTGCCTGACCTTGAGATATGAATACGTTCTTACAGCATTGGGCTTCTTTCTCTATCGGCAGCCGCCCATTCAACCGTGGCGAACTGCACTCAAATCATTTCAGAAATTTGCGAACCTGCGGTCAGTTCTATAGGATACAAACAGTCCACGGCACGTACGCATGTGAACTTGTCGTCAAAGTCCTGTTTCAACTATGGCTATTTATGTAAATATATGTGTACGTGTGCTCGTAGGCATGACTCATGGCGCCTCGACTGAGTCGCATCGCTGTTGCATCCGACCGAAACAGGGGGCGAAATTGGTGCATGGCATGCGCCGAACGAGTTGCGCCAAGGTTTCATGTAGCAAGCATTACGTGGACTCTCGCACCCCGCTAGCCCACTCCAGTCGATTTATACGGGCCACCTATGCAGTTTGAGTGAGGCCAGCTCTGGGGGCAGGGGGGGGGGGTGCACTTCCTTTGGGCAGCCCAGCGCATTCCTCATTATCATAAATGTTGCGAGGCGCTTAAAACTTTCATAGAGTTTGGACCTGCACGGTTGCCGGCTGACGAGATTACTCAGTCTCTCCGTAGAACCGAGGTTAAACTGACGCTGTTACCCCCTTAAAGGTGCAATTTTGAAGCGTTCGCCTCCGCGTGTGGCGCGCGGTAGAAGCCGCCTCGGCCACTGCGCCTAATCCCGCCGCCCTCAACTAGGACATGGCAGAGCGGATGCTGAGAGTCGGGCCGACTCGAAGGTTCCAGGCCTCCTGACTACCTTCCTCAGTAGATTTCCGTGCCGCGTTCTGCCAATGAGGTTTAACTACATGATTGATACATCACATGACTCCACAAGAATAGTTCAATGGAATTTTCATTCGATCCCCAGCTAACTGCACTCAATAACTCTGACGACATTGCCCTGCCAGCTTCAAGCTTTGCTGGACTCTCGAATGTGGCGACGTTGTTGAATTACGTCGATAAATCAGTCCGCCTATCCATAAATTTTGGGAAGGCCAGTGTTTCCAACGGACCTCTGAGGTAAAAGACAAGGTTTGTTGGGTTTCCTCAAGTTCCGTTTGCAGCAGACGTTGTTTGCGCAGGAGGGCCTCTCTCGATTCCTCCAGTTCTTCCAACTACAAGGAGATTTCAAATGCAAAGTACTGCGTTGAAATTAACAACTTCCCATGACATGCAAACCTCAAATCTTTATCGGAAGACAGAACTCCTGTTCTGCAGAGAGGACTTATTGATGACTCGCAGTCACACACGACTCCAAAGATTAACGATGACAGCCGGAAGACTGTGGACCATTGAACTAAGTGGTAGATCGCTCGACACAAAGTGCCCAATGATGGAGTAACTGGGACTGGCCTGAGACTTACTTTGCCTATATGATGATGACAACAAGGCCAGAAATGGCTACATCAGTCTCGGCGGGTTCCGGGTGCAACTTCACCATTTCAGCACATCTTATCGTAGTTTCGGTGTGCTCAGTACAAGAACTTTTTTAGTTGAGATGCAGTAAGTATATTAGAGTTTTTATACGACAATCTGTTTACCTGCCGATTATTGGTTGGCAACACTACTACGGCTAAGCTCCACACAGTGACTCTTCCTGTCGGCAATTCGTTGAGGACAGCGGTCAAAAGCCAGATAGAAGGTGCCTGAACAAGCGTGCTAGCAGGTAAACAACTTCCAGAAAACCAACAGCTGCTCACCTGAATGCGAAGCTGTTTAATGAGACCGCGATCGGCCGGAGGTAGAGACAGAAACTGGTCCCAGGGGAATTCGCGTCCTGCAGGTCCGTAGATGAAGTTGAAAGTGGAAGCCGACGAGGACGGTGATCGGGCTTGAGAGGGGTGGGGAGGACAGAAGGAAAATATCAGGCGCATGGTTCCCAGTCAGGACAAGGATAAAAAGCGGTTTTGATGTCGTCGGAATGGGAGAGTGCAGTCTGCAAGGCCTAACAGTAAAAAGTGTGTCAGTCTGCGTTAGGCCGGCCAATTGGGTAGTGCATAAAATGCAAAAGGGTCCACGCGTCAGCACTGTCAATTTCGAGAGATTGGTGCTTCGAGCCTGTCTGTGCATACCTTGTATTTGAAAGTTTAGTTTTTACCTACTTTACTCGCGGATTTAAGGCTCTCCGACACAATACCTTAGCTCCACGATCTTTGATATTTGGTGCACTTCAACCCATTCGTTCCTGAACGTGGAGTTATTGGAACAAAATTAACTTCATGGGTTTTCCTAACCGTTCCCCTCCCCGCTCGCGGATACCTCCAATGCTTATTGATACTACCTTTTACGATCCCTTTATGGTAGCTTTTAATTTTGGTTGCGTTCCTTTGGGTTTATTTTTTTCCGTTCCTTGGCAAGCAGCCAGCATCATTCATCATTGAAATTCCTGAATATCGTATGCGTGCCAGAAGTGCCCTCGCACTCGCCATGATTTTACATCGACCTAGAACGGCCTGTTTTCACCGACGTACCCAATAAGTCACATCCTTTTTTCTCTTCCTTTTTACCTTTTGTCCCCATTTATCTTGTGATCTGTACGATCCCGACAAATATCAGACATCATTTCTGTCTTTCTCTCCGGCAGGATTCATGCAATCACTGAAGCCAATCAAGCGCATGCATTAATATATGTACACACACACGCGCGCGAACGCGCAAATTGGTGTGACGCATACATGTACATCTACGTCACCTTGACGAGCTTGAGTTTATCACGAGACGCTAAAACTTTTTCTAGGAGGGTTGCCAACTCACGGGATAACTCGGTACCCCACTCAGGACCAGCTTCAGACTGCAATGGCTCCTTTATTATTCGGACCTTGTGACACTCCCATCCAGTTGGTATCCGAGCTGTCACCCTTTCTCGTTGTGTGAAAACCTGGTCCATTGTGCTCACACCCAGGGTATGTTATGGCACGCCTATGCGCGGGTGCGCGCCACGCCAGCCACTTGAACCCTATTCCTCCTCCGGTTTTCTTGCCTTTGCCTCGACACCGAACTCAGATGGAATGTGCATGAGGGAGTTGGGTAGATCCAGCACAAGTTTACTATAACTTCGAATTGGTCCATTCTCAAGTCGCCGTTCATGCGCCCACTGCTCTGTGGGGCACATGGAAGACGTCTTCGGGACCGGCGTCCCAACTGTCACATGTACACGTACCTTCGCATCCCGCCCTTGTTCTACTATCTGATCTTCGATGTCTTCTGAATCTTTAGGGGCTTTTGACCCATTTAGCCCGCCCGTACTCCACGTAGCCCTTCCAACCATCCGACCTCTGTTTGCACTTTCATATGCTCACCAAACGTCCTGTTCTTCATAGGCAAAGTCTACGCATGGTCCCCGTTACACAACCGGATCGTTCCTCTCACAAATTCACCAAAACTGGTGTCTGGTGGATGAGGGCGAAAAAGTGCGCTAGATGCTGCGAAAGTCCACCTCACTATAAACTGCCTGTCACGATGGTGACCGTCCTGAGCCCGCTCTGTAGGGCACAGGGTGGGCATCGCGGCTCACCATCTTGTAGTCCTTCCCAGCATCAAACCTTGCTCGTCCAAGCCTATCACAGAACCAACCCGTTTTAAGCCCTGTCTGGTTGCCCCTGTACGGAATACAGTTTCCGGCCGTAGCCGTGCACTGAGTTCTGTTTTTTTTCATGAGTCGTGGTGTCATTATAAGCAGTTATATATTTTTAAACGTACGTATAAAACAAAAATGTACAATACGTGATCCATCTCATGAAACCTGATGATAGAAACTGATATGAGAGTTTTCGGACATCTTAGACGTTGCGGCGCATTTTGTTCGCTCGTTCAGTCTTTTCAAGGAAATGTCGTTTTCTTGTGCAGAAAATATGTCCATGTAATTTCATCTAGCAAACTGTCCGTAAGTTGAGGCAAAAATGGACGTTACGCTACATTCCGGCAATCTTCCATGCTTTCCTCGCCTTCGGTAGCGCGTTTGAGCATGTTTTTCTCTGAGAAGAGGGTAACCTACTGTCGAGATGTCTACTAAACAAAGCTTTCCACGCCTAAAAACTGATTTTTTCGTCTGATGTCAACCGTAGGAATCAGTTTACTAACATCAGGTTCTTTTTAAAGAGCCAGACTTTTTATCAATTTTTAAAAGTCAGTCTAGCAAATCTGTGCAATTTCGCCCCCTGAAGTGCAGTAATAACGCACGCAGACAGTCCTTCGTTTAAGTGGGTCGAAATTTTTTTCATTTGTGGAAATTCCACGTTTCGACACCGAAGTGGCCATCACCGAAAAGTTTTTATTTCAGCTTTGAACGTGTAAAACCATACTTTTTGTGCAGTCTGCTGTCTGCATGTACGTAATCTAGAAATGGAACGTGCGGTCGCTGTTCCAGCGATCGCATCTTCATCTTCTGAGTACCTTTAATATTTTTCTTATGTTTTAGTTCCCTTAAAGTTGCTGTTTTTCAACATAGATATTGGGTCCATGCGTCGGTGTCGGTTTGCGTGCGATTACCAATCATTCGTAAATTTTGACACCCTTCATGTGTTATGTAACCCACTGCATAGCAAAGTGTATGTAAAGTCATCTGGGAGATTGTCAAAGTTTGAGGATTGCCCACAACTCCGAAAACAAAACCGTCCAGTCTGCGTGCAACTGTTAACTGACATCCTGTCTCCAATGGTGCAGGTTAGGAAACTTAAGGGAATGAAGAGGCTGCCATCCAACGAACGAATACTACTTCTGTAGAGATCGGTAGTTCAAAATTCATCACCAATGCTTCTATGTTGTCTATATTGGGAGTTCAGTTGTGGGTTTAATCGGGCGTTGCAGCGCAAAAAACGAAAATGAGTACCGTAGAATTTGCACAGACTTTTGATGTTACAGAACAGGGTTGTTCAAGGAATATTGGAAATAGTGCAGCAATTTAAAATTCAGGGGTACCGCGGAAGCAATGAATGCATTTGGGGAAGAAGCTGTGGTTGCAACCAATGACCCTGATGTGTACGTTGTGACACTGAAAAAGTCGTACAAAACCCACGGTGTCTATAAATTGGTTAGAGATTATTCGCTTTTTGAATTGGGCCTTGTTACACGTTAATCTTACCGCATGAAGATTTACGGACGACCAGAAGTAAAAATAAATCACGAGACCAAATGGCACTACTTATTTCAGCCAATACCACAGACTCACATCCAACGAAACTTGGGAAACCAACTTGAGTTATCTCTATTAGAGGAAGGGTGTCAAGTATCCTAGACTTAGTGGCAAACTCCATAAATCGATACGTAATCTTCCTCCAAATGACTCAAAGAAATATTCTATCATGCACAGATAAGAGGACTGACCGGCTTGCAACAGCCCTTCTGGATGCCTTTGTGTGAGAGCCGAAGGGGATAGAGTGTTCGATCTGTAATTTCCTCCTACCTTTGCTTTACTGAAGTGGCTTGCTGACTGGCGTATTAGTGTTACTTTAAATAATCGTTATAAACCTCTGCATTTGAAGTACATTGATCCCTCCTTGATCGCGGGGGTTGCGTTCTAGAAACCTCTATGAAAAGTGAAAATTCCGCGAAAAAAACCCATATGTTTTGCGATGTGTTTATATATCTTAAACCCTTATAAATCCCACATTATTATAACATTTCTCACGCAGCTTTACGGCGTAAACTCTTCATATTTTATTAGATATGAGGTTACATTCGTTAAAATTATGCATGCAAATGCACTGTTTATATACTACACACAGATATACATGTCGTACTTAGGTTTAGGGGGTTTTATTTAATATGTACTGCATAGCCCGGAAGAAGTAGAAGAAGCAGATCGTTTTGGAGACATAATGAAAAACTGAACTACGCACAGAAAGCCCAAAATCCACAAAGATCCGCGAACCAGCGAAAGCTCCATGATATATACAAGACTTCGTATTCGCGATGTGGTTGACCAGCTACTTATTTCTTTTTTGTACAAAATTTTGCTAGCATATCTGCCGTGGATTTTGACGACTTTATTCAAATTGATGATAGAAAACGCGAACGAATATACTTAGATCATCTTAGGAGGTATCGTTTGTGCCCTTGAGAAGCCTTTATCAGTTCTGGGGATGTTGATGTCCATATTGATACAGAAGAATCTGCAATTCCTCTAGTCCTTCTCGTGTGAGATCGGATTTTTTGCATCAATTAATATGTTTTTTTTCCACAGTACTATATCCTTCAGATGAAGAGGTTTCATTAGAACACACTTATGATGGGTGCCTATTCCGGATCCTTCCTAATATTTCTACCGTCCAAGACGGCAACATACAGTATACGCACACAAATGTGCAATGTATAACTTTTCTGCAACAACTTCTGGATTTGACATTTTCCCCTATTTCTGCTTTCCTGTCCGTGTTATATGCTTTAAAGTAAATGTGTCAAATGTCTGAAATTGACCATTGCTTTAGCCGTTGAGGACTCTGCGCGGTATCTCTTAATGGGATTTATAAGCTTCACACGGTAAACTGGCATATTGCATGAAATACGGGTTTCGGAATGCATGCATTAATTTTTGGAAAACCAATTTCCTTTTCGGCTATATAAGTTGGTTATTGTTGTCAGATACTTCTTCTTTATGTCACATGTCTTTGATTCTGTCTATCCACAACCCTTGGTTATTTTAGGCCCATCCTGCGCGGATTTGGAGATTCTATGGACGAGGGTGCCTCCGCGTCTACTCTAAGCGCTTCGTCTTCTTCGGGTTTGGCCGCGACCTTCATTTCTGACGTGGTACGTTGAGTTGCTTCAGCGTGTCTGCTGATTACTTATTAGTAGACATTTATTTCACAGGTTTTTTCTGCCCTTCTCTTCTTCCCACGGAACCTTTAAGTTGTTCAGTGCAGGTCATGTCAGTGCT